AAAAGGAGTGGTTGTGTCAAAGCAAGTTAACCATCAGGCTGGTGTTGAGTTTTTCTTAACTATTTTACGCGAAGCTAATATCTATCCCCTCACAATGTCATATGTATCTTGCGTGCACTTCAAACTCCGGAGGCATAACAGCAAAAAATCTTCACTGGTTATCTCTCGATGTCTATTTTCTTGCTTTGAAAATATCAAACGATGATCAGAAGTGTTCGGAACTTTACACACAATTTCGGCAAGTCCCTTTACAAGTTCCGCCTCGATATCAAACTTATTTAACATCAGAAAACACGCCAAATTGCCTAATCTCATATTTCTTGGCTTTTCTATTTAATAAGAGATATTAAACAAAGCATTAATACCTAGATATAATATGATACAAAGATAATGTTTATCGTGGGTTCAGATGTGCCATTTAATCACCAATCAATGTTTTTTCAACTTCGATAACAATTAGATAGAGGTCTAATAGTTCTAATATTTATAGATATTAGGAAACAATTTTTATAGATCAAAATTTGGTTTACCAATGGGGTCTTCTCTTAGTGGCATTTTGGCTTGTCTGCTTTTGAAATTTCTAGAAAGTGGTCTTATCAAAAATATTTCACCACAAAATTCTTCTTACTTTAGATATATAGACGTGCAGCTGTAACAGCAGTGGGTGTGTCTAAGCAAGTTATGGCTGGTGTTGAGTTTTTCTCAACAGTTTCACGAGATGCTAATATCTATACCTTCTCCATGTCATATGTATCTTGCGTGCACTTCAATCTCCGGAAGCATAGCAGCAAAAAAGCTTCACTGGTTATCTTTCGATGTCTATTTTCTTGCCTTGAAAATATCAAACAATGGTACTCGGAACTTTACACACAATTTCGGCAAGTTCCTTAACATGTTCCGCCTCGATTTCAAACTTACTTAACATCAGCAAAACACACCAAATTGCTTAATCTTATATTTCTTGGTTTTTCTATTTAATAAAAGATATTAAACAAAGCATTAATACTTAGATATAATCTGATTCAAAGGTAATGTTTATTGTGGGTTCGACTGTGCCATTTAATCATCAGTTAATGTTTTTTTCACCTTCGATAACAATTTTTACATAGAGAAATTTGGTTTACCGATGGGGTCTTCTCTTAGTGTCATTTTGGCTTGTCTGCTTTTGAAATTTCTGGAAAGTGGTCTTATCAAAACATTTTACGACAAAATTCTTCATACTTCGGATTCAGAGACGATTTCCTTCTAAAATATCCACAAGATATAATTTTACCCGATCTATCGACAAACCTAATAACGTCGAACCCACAATAGACTTTGCCTTTGAATCTGAATCTTACACACACACACACACACACACACACACACACAAGGTGCGATGGATAAATTATCATCTAAATTACGCAAAAATGAAAATAGCACTGACATTTTATTTTAACAGATATATTTACCAAAATTACACAAAGATAAAGAACAAATTTATTCAATAAAATCGCTATTGGCTTAAACTACGGCCACTCAATTGCGTCCCACACATAACAATCAAGGGGGTTACAATCTGGGGAGTTAGGTGGCCAGATGTATGGGGTGATGTGGTGGCAGAAATTGTCTGACATTCATGACTAGGTCCACCTGCTTGTGTGGCATGGTACGGAGTCCTGTTGCCAGAGATAGGGTGTTCCAGCAATCACCCTCTTGACCCAGAGCAGCACTACCTCCTCAAGGCACTTGATGTAGATCTCCGTACTGAGTATTAGACCTTGTGGGGAGATGTATGGAGGCATAACGTCACCATCACTACTCATCACTCCAAACACCTTCGTAGTCACCATTAGACTCATCCAACTCTTTCCGAATCCACTGCACTGTTCTCAAATTGACATATCAAACACACTGAAATATTCGTATAGGGGCTTCCGGCGAGAATGCCAAGAAGTACAGTATGCCCTTTCCAGATTTCTAGTAGAGTGAATTGCGTCATGGTGCTCTTCTTCTCACAGACGGCACCCTCATTGACACTACCATACTGTGCAGGCGACAAAATCCAGAACAAACAACACGAATGTGCGAAATGAGTATAAATAAAATGGCGACAATTTATCCATCGCACCCGGTACACTCCCCAAAAAAAAATGTATACACACTTCATGAAAGGAAAAACTTGTCTTTCGTAGTTTTACCCATGGTGGACCCTAAAGGATGTTGTGTATTGCAGAAAACTGACTATACTGGCGGCCCTTAGACAAGAAATTCTAAATGCATGTGCTGCAAATCCCATTGAACATTTTGGCTAACGTTGCCTAAACAGTTGTTCGCCGTAGTAATAAATGTCTGGAAACTAAAGGCCACCATTTTGAGCTTCTATTGTGATTGTAGAATCAAAAGGTAACTTGTATTAATCTTGTAATGTTTGAATAAATTTAGTATTACAAGATTTATACAAGTTTTTCCTTTCCTAAAGGGTGTATACATTTTGGCGGAGGACTATATATATATATATATATATATATATATATATATATATATATATATATATATATATATATGTGTGTGTGTGTGTGTGTGTGTGTGTGAAAATATATAGAAAATAGGAAAGAACTTGTTAGGTAAATAATCCAAAGTTCTTTAGTATTTTTGTTATTATTTTAAAAAAATAGTGCTCGATACAAAAGTAGAGCATAATTATAATTATTTATTTAAAATATGATTCCAAAACGCTACATAAGAGTTCTCATGTTTCAAAACAAGAGCCGAAAACTTCAATATGATTATTTGAATTAAATTGAATTAAAGTACCAAGCTCTGTTCCATCTTCAAGCGAATTTTTTTTGGGGGGAATAATAAGTTATTCCAAAAAAAATTTCGCTTGAAGATGGAACAAGCTTACTTTAATTCAATTTAATTCAAATAATCATATTGAAGTTTTCGGATCTTGTATAAAAACTGTCCAAATGTTCTTTTTATCCGATTTAAATAAGAAATACTTTGTAGTATCTATAGGCCACACTACAACATATTTGACACGCAGACTCACTCTACACCTTTCTGACCATAGCTCAATTAGATCTCATTTAAATATTCATGGAGAGCTACACGACACTATTCGTAATTTACTTGTTGACAACACTAATATAATAGTATCATCTACATGCAAAAAAGGCTAAAAATAATGGAAGCTTTATTAATAAAAAACAACAAAAAACACTTAATAATATTAACTTTGAACATGGGCATAATATCTTGACTGTGTTTTGAAAAATGAAAACATTTCATAAAACATACATACAACAAACAATTTCTCTATTTCTTATTTAACAGTTAAAATGTTTAATCCTTGAAAATGGCTCAATGTATAGCCGAAAGCGCTCGAATAAAAAGAACATTCGGACAGTTTTATATAATTTATCATCCGAAAAGAAAAAAAAAAATTAAATCGCCTGAGAAATTGTATAAAAAAAACTAAATAAAAGCACCTTGTTTGTCGTATTCAATGAAATGTGCATATATATATATATATATATATATATATATATATATATATATATATATATATTGCATTGGAACAAATGTTGTTAGCGTTTTTCAGTAGGCCGCTTTGAAGAAGTGATTTTGTTTTTACCCCTGACTGAAATTGATGGCCGATGTAGACATTCTTGACGTGTCTTTATGTGCGATTCGTGGCTGGATTTTCAAATTTATATTTTTTAATTTAACAATGAAAAAAGGGGGTGAGTTGGAATTAAATGCTTTTTCGTCTTTTGATACATTTATTTATTTCTGGAAAAGAATGAAAACCCGCTTTAAAAACAGCAAAAAACATATGCACTGGCATTTAAGGTATTGTCTGTAAGACGTTTGAAAAGTTCAGAAGTGAATATTTTGATCTGGAACTCCAGTCAAATTTCTAAAATATCTGATATCCTCTAGCATGCACAGCAGAACGGATGAATACACACAGCTTGAAGTTCTCCTCGTAGAGCTAAGGTCAATGTCTGTTGTTTTGTATTGGCTTACTGCTCCTGATTTTTAGGCCTTATGTCAGATTTAGCTAAGATTAACTATTTTACATACAGTCAGAATAAGATCAATACTGATATGCCACTCATGACATACGTAAAGAAATTAAAAAAAAGAAGCGATTTGCGTAAATAATGACATCTTAAATCTGATGACTAGGTTTGCTTATTACTTTTAATAGAATGCTGAATTAGTAATCAGACTGGTTTATTTATTAGTGGGTTGAGAAGGTAAGAAAAACAAGGATTGATTTATTTCTTCCGTTGGGGGTAAGGAGAGAGCAACGCTCAGAGCAGACTGTATTTGCCCGCCATATTGAATGGTACATGTTAGTGGCAACATTAGCGTCAACTTCAATCAAAACGAACAGACGACAGAGAACCAATCAGACATTTTCCGGATTTTTCTTTCCTTTCCCTCAGATTTCCTTTCTTTGAAATTTTCTTATTTTTTGTTCTTTTGCTTTGGTTTGAATTTTGCTAAACGGGTGATTTTTTTAAGTAGACATTTTTCGGTGACTTAACTCCATTCTCATATTTTACAATTTCTTTCTTTCTTTCTTTCTTTCTTTCTTTCTTTCTTTCTTTCTTTCTTTTTTTTGGCTTTCACATCTCTTGTTTTTTGGCTTTCTAATTTATACGATTTTCTTTCTTTCTTTCTTTCTTTCTTTCTTTCTTTCTTTCTTTCTTTCTTTCTTTCTTTCTTTCTTTCTTTCTTTCTCAACGTTTCCTAGTTTTTTCTTTCCCGTTTATTATAATGTTCTTTCTTTCATTTTTCATTGTCTCCTTTTCACTTTTTTCCCTTTCTTTCTTACTTTCTCCACGTCTCGTGTTTTTGTCTTTCCCAATTATACTATTTTCTTTCTTTCTTTCTTTTTTTTTTTTCTTTTCTTTCTTTCTTTCTTTCTTTCTTTTTCACCGTCTCTTATTTTTGTATTTCCCGTTTATACATTTTTCTTTCTTTCTTTTCTAAATATCAGATTGTCAAAGAGAGAAGAGAGAGAGAGAGAGAGAGAGAGAGAGAGAGAGAGAGAGAGAGAGAGAGAGGGGGGCATTCCTATTTCGGAGAAAAACCTACGGAATTATCGTTCTATAAACGTTAGAAAAAAGTTCCACTTCGACAGAACTACTACTTTGTGGAACTATCACTCATGCAGATGCTTCCCTGAACCCCATAATCTTAACCTCTTCAACTCAAGGGTTAATCATTATTTGTACCCTATTCTCATAATCTTCTCTTCACCTCCTCTTTCATTCATATCATAGACCTTATTCATCATAAGCATTATAACACTAATACTCTACCTTGAGTGGCTGTCTTATTAAAATCTCGATTAAGTGCGATATTCGCTTCCAGAGTGTTGTATAAGAATAAATTGTCGTTGCCAACACCGTAGTTTGAACCAGTGAGCAAACACAGACGATTCCATTATTAAATAAGTAGATCACGTGAAACGTATAAATGGGAATTAGCGTGACGTCTAAGTGATCGTTATTCTCCATACTATCCACTATAATATTTCTCTATACTGATTATTATACGAATTACTATTCGGAGATTACTATTTGAACAAGTATTACTCGTGCAAGTATTATTTGAAGACATTGTTACTACCAGTATCTGCATTTACAATGTTTCGTCTACAAAGAGCCTTTCAGAAGTGATAACAAGCATTCGTTGACCTAACGCAAGTTAGAACGAGCGAGCATCTACCATCACAAAACTAACCATTGATCCCTAAAAAGGACAGAGTAGATGGAATGAAATGGATGGATCAAATTCAGTTTCAATATATGTGATCCATACTACCCAAGCTGTTTGAAGAAAAACGATGAGACTCTATCTTAACTAGGGAAAGTTAGCGGTTTGTGTGATCCCACTGACATGACTATTATGGCCAGTGGGAAAAAAAAAGAAGAGGATTCATATCTTTTCCAAAGGTATTAGCACGTAAGTGAATGTAATGGATTTGACTGGAATTCGAACTCAGCTCTCTGATTCCGCAATCCGAGCCGCTATCCATTACTCCACCATTCTCTATAATGTTTATTTTACAGATTGCTATTCGGCGATTACTATTTGAACAATTATTATTAGTGCAAGTATTATTTGAATGCATTAATACTACCGATATCTGAGTTACAAAGTCTCGTCTACAACGAGAATTTCGGAAGTGATAACGAGAATTCATTGACCTAACGAAAGTTAGAACGAGTAAGCGTCTAATATTACAAAACAGTGGGAAGTAGTAAACCGCTTTTCTTACTATATAACAAAAGTACCTTACGAATTACAGGCAATAAATATTTTGTTTTGCGAATATATGTTTGTATAGTTTCATAAAATTAACCTCGCATGAAAAAGACAGAAAATCAATAAGTGAATGTGGGTAAGTAAAATGTAAGTAAATCAAAATATACGTTAGATTTTATCGAATAGAAAATAGTGCAATGATAATATTGTGTTGTATGCAACACGTTGCTCTTTAGGGGACTTCTTAGTCCCAATGTGCAGTGCATACAACAGAGAAAAAGAGACACGTCTTGTCCTTACGGCATCTTGTGGTGAAAGAAAGATTATTTGTCTTTTCCTTTTATACTGCTTGATACAACCTCACCTAGCGGGCGTTAGAGGATTGGTTCTAAAAATATTAGTTACAGACAGACATAGGTGGCTCACCCATAACTACAATGCCATCTGTCTATATCTCTGAGATGCAGTATTATGATTACTTACATTATTTACATTATTTGGACTGTTATCCTCATCTTCATTGCCATATTCACAACGTTTTGGCAGCTGTACACTCCGAATGAATAACAACGGAAATGGCAAAAAATATGGTAAAAAATGCAATAATAATAACATAAGAATTGCAATATGAGCACTGTTAAAAATGGTTGCTTAGACATAAGATTTATAAGTTCCAAAAATCCATACAGGGATGTCCTCAAGGACACATGGTCCAGTGGATAAAGACATTGGTTAGATCCAGTGACCAGATTCAAAAGTGTTGTGAATTAAATACCAGGCCACAGTGGTGAACCAAATTTGAAGAGTAGAGTTAAAGGGAAATAAATGAGGCACTCGGAAGGGGCATGGCAAGTAGAACTAGAACAGTCTACTCCGGTGGACGAAATAAAGCGTTCGGGTTGAAATATCAATCACCTGAAAAAAGCTGGAAAGATTATGAATATGTCAATGGAAATGAAGTTAACACTTCGAATAATGCAAGTACAATGCCATCGTTTAATTTTTGTGACGAATGAATAAAATTTTCAGAAAATACATGACGGCGTTCCATACTTGTGTCAGTTTAGAAAATCACTTAGGGTATTTCGGCATGGTGTAATGGTTAACAAATTTACCTAGCTAGATCAATGTCTGTCTATATATCTGAGATGAGGTATTATGTACACTATTTACATTATTCGGACTATTGTCCTCATCTTTGTCGCCATATTTATTACAACGTTTCGGCCGTTGTATGCTCCGGCCTTCTTCAGGTGGTTGGAATATGGAACTGAACCCTTTATTTCACTCACTGGGGTAGACTCTTCTAGTTCCACGTGCCATGTTTTTTTTTTTAAATGGATGTCAGTTTTCTCTTGTTAATTCCCCTTTCCAAGTTCTCCACTGCCTTAACCGGGTATTGAACTCACACTGTTTAGGTCCTGTCACTGGATCTAACCAACGCCTTTACCCACTGTGCCATGTGTCCTCGAGTTCAATACCCGGTTAAGGCAGTGGGGAACTTGGAGAGGGGAATTAACAGGAGATAACTGATAACATTAAAAAAACATGGTACGTAGAATTAGAACAGTGAGCGAAATAAAGGGTTCAGTTCGACATTCCAACCACCTGAAGAAGGCCGGAGCGTACAACGGCCGAAACGTTGTAATAAATATGGCGACAAAGATGAGGACAATAGTCGGAATAATGTAAATAGTGCTCGCTAGATCAGTTACGACTGAAAAGTGAGATTGATCCTCGCTTGGTGCTCCATACTTTCGGCCTTGTGCCACATATAATCTATACTTTCAAAAACTGAATTCCCAATTCTAGGTGGAACGTTTTTCTGGACCGGCAAAGTTATTTTAGATATTGACAAATTCGTACCACCAGGTCTATTTCAGACGGAACTTAGTCTTAGTAGCAAAGACTCTTCCTAAAGTTACACGAAAGGCTTGCTTTAAAAATCAGCATTTGAAATCATGGCCTTTACTTAAATTCGGGCACTGATCCCTAATGTTGATGCGAGATACACGACCCATCCCCACCTCTGACACAAAACAGTTACACTTTCTATGTTGTTTCGGAGATAAACCTTTCGGCTTCGTTCATGAAGGTGATCCATCGATTTTTATTTGGTACAGAATTTGTTTTTCCGAATATCTTTGCAAAGATGGATCTTCAAATATGTAACGATTGATATAGAAAACAGATTGATATAGAAAAATATACAGTAAACCGAGAGTAAAAGAAAAACGTTAGTTTACTCAGATTAAAACATAGAGTATGTCTCCTCTGGGCTTCCGTAAAGAAACAGTTCATTCTCACCCTATCAAAAAACAAATCTCTTGACGACTCAAAAATTCAATTTGTTTAATTCCTGGTGTCCGTTACACACTCTCCTAGGGCTGGGGAATTGAGAAGGGGGAGAAATAAAAGATGAGAAATAGAGAGGGAGAGAGAGATGGAGGGTGAGTAAAAAAGAAAGAGAAAGAAAAAAAGAAAGATAGAAACAGAGAGAGATAGAGAGAGAGACTAAGAAGAGGGAAGAGAAAGAAAAGAAAAGAACGAGTAAGAGAGCGATGGAAGAGAGGACAAGTAAGGAAGAAAGAGAAAGAACGAACAAGAGAGAAAACGAGAAAGAGAAAGAGAAACGGACGAGTAAGAAGGAAAGAGAAAGAATGAGATAGATAGATAGATAGATAGATAGATAGATAGATAGATAGATAGAGAGAGAGAGAGAGAGAGAGACAGAGACAGAGAGAGACAGAAAGGGGATGATTAAGAAAGCAAGAGAAAGAACGAGAAAGAGAAAGAGAGAGAAGGGAAAAAGAAAGAAAGGACACAGAAAGAATGAGAGAGAAATAAGGGGGAAAAGAAAGAAAGAAAGAAAGAAAGAAAGAAAAAGAAAGAACAAGAAAGAAAAATAAGCGAGAAGGGAGAGAGGAAGAAAAAAAAAAGAAAAAACGAGAAAGAGAGAGAATGAGAGAAGGGATGAGTAAAAAAGATAGAGAAAGGGAGAGATCGGGAAAGGAGACGAAAGAGAAAGAAAAAAATGAGAAAAAGAGAAAGTGTGTGTGTGTGTGTGTGTGTGTGTGAGAGAGAGAGAGAGAGAGAGATAGAGAGAGAAGAGTAATGCCTTTTCACACTTTCTCGAGACAAAGTGATAGATTAATCCGGTTTGTCTAATTTTGTCAACTCTTATTTCTCAAAATACTATTTTCTCGTTGGCGCCATTTTGTGTTCGCTCTTAACGAATTCGCATGAATTACATAAATTGATGTGAAATTAGAAATAATCTGAACTATTTTCCTTTTTGCTATACAAGCAGGTTGAAGACCCTAATTTCACTGATTACTAGTACCTTCTTTGTGTTGTGTCCATTCAGAACGTACGCGGACTAACTCTCTGCAACTTCCTACCTTTCATATAGGAAGAAAATGAGTAACTACCCATACCAAGGTTCGAATGTGACATTCTAGACTAATGAATATATGTTTTACATCAGGTGTATAAATCGCGGTATCAGGCTACTGACTGGAATGATTATTGAGTGACTGTTGAGTGGAACTATCCAGTCGAATTAGTGTGAATTATTGTGTGTCGATGATTTGGGTTTTAATTTAGGATTTATCGGACGTTAATCCGAGCTGGGCTACTAACAATGTATTCACTGAAATGGTTAATTATCTTTGGTTAATTTTTACTTCCTTGTTAAGTATTTATTTGTGGTTGTAATTAAATACTATTTTATCTTAACATTGAAGTCTTGAGTTATACTTAATCATTAACGGCCACCGTATGTCCCGATTGATGCTCTGTGGGTGCCAAATTCTCAAAGACCTCTTTTCTCATTATGCACCCCAGAAATCTCCACTCTAATGATTCGAGGTATACGTGTCCCTTTTCTTTTCCTTTTCTTTAATACTTCCACGTTATTTACACGTTCAGTCTTCTTTCTTCTCATATGCCATGTCCCTTCAAGACGTAGGCGATCATGGCTCTCCACCTCCCTCTATCGCTTGCAGCTCTCAACAAATTCCTTCCCTCTGCTTCCTCCTCCAGATCACGTTATGTCATCCATTTGCTTAACCCAGCCAGGTATGTCACACATTGTTTTCCCTTGTCTCTCTTTCCCTCTATTCGACCCGGGAGTATCAAATTCTCCAGACCCTCCTTCCTTCTTTCTTTTTATGTTCCATGTCCTTTCAGGACGTAAGCGATCATGGCTCTCCACCTCTTTCTATCCCTTGCAGCTCTCAACAAGTTCCTTCCCTCTGCTTCCTCTTCCAGATCACGTTCTGTAATTCACTTGCTTAAGCCAGCCAGGTATGTCAAGCGTTATTTTCCCTTGTCTCTCTTTCCCTCTATTCGACCCGTGAGTATCACATTCTCCGGGACCCCCTTCCTCATTATGTGCCCCAGGACCTCAGCTGCCTCTTTCTGATGTTAAGTATAAGCCTCCTCCTTGTTTGCATCCTCTCCAATCTTCATCCCACGCTCGGTCCATGATATCCTTAGCATCCTTCAGTAAAACCACATCTCCATCGCATCGAGTCTCTTCTTCAGCTTTGAGGAAATAGTCTAACATTCGCTGCCATAAAGAAGGACAGATGTCACGTAGCAGCTCAATATTCTTTTATTTGTTGCCAAAGAAATCCTCCTGTCACGCAATTCTCTGCCCATCTTTTGGAATGCGTCCTTTGCCATCCCAATACGTCTACGGATCTCAATGTCGCACTTACAGTCCTGTGTCCAGATATTTAAACTTCCGCGTCTGCTTGATTCTAGAATTCTCAACCTTCAAATCGCATTTCGGGCTCATCCGTTTATTGATGACCATTCTTTCTGTCTTCTTGCAATTTATGCTTAGAACCTTCTTCCTGACTCTCCGTCGCTACCTTCTGTAGGAAATTTTGTAACTTCTTTTCCGTGTCTGCTGTCATCTGCGTATCTTAAGATTTGGCCGCCAATTCTAAATCCCGGTAGAGTCTCCAATTCTCTCAGAATTGCCTCGCTGTATCGGTTGAACAGGTCGGGTGAGAAGACACATCCTTGCCTTATACCCCATTTCTATTTTTCTATATTCACTAAACTCGTTTTCTATGCGCATGCATACTGTTTGCTGCTAGTATATGCTTGATTATTCTGGTGTTAATTCCTGGATCTAACGATATATGAACCTTTGTTGTATCATCATCTGTCAAACTTTGTCTTTTTACAATTAGAAAAAATATATATTTGAATTTATTGATACTTTTATTACTATACTTCAGTCTATAAACATGTACTCAATTCAGCATAGGTAAATATTGGTAGTTTATATACTTATAACATATTTTAGTATATTTGTCATGAGGCTTTTGTTATGCATTGAATGAAATAAGGTATAGTCTTGAAAGTATTTTTAATATATTTCTCTTATTCGTGTAAATATTGAGGACTGCAAATTCTCAGTGCTCTTAAGTAGAATCCGATGATCATTCCGGATTTTATTTTGGTGTTATGATGGAAATAGAAGTTTATTGGGTCATTTTTATTAGTTGATTTTCGGTGAACACAAATTTTTAGGCTGTTGTCAACTCGGTGTAGCTTGATGTCTAGGAAAGTTAAAGTATTATTAGTTTCTATTTCATATGTAAATTATATTGTATGTGAGACTTTGTTTAGTTTATCTACAACCTCAGGTGAAATCATTACCACGGGGTTATATTAGTACAGTATCATCAATATATCGGAAGTATGTTGATTGTTCAGGTAAAATATTTTTGAAAGTTACCAAATTTGAGAAATTCTAAGAAAATACATGCCATCACCTCACTAAGAGGCGATCCCATTGGTAATCCAAATTTTTGTTTATAAATATTATTGTTAAATGTGAAATAGCAATGACTGATGATGAGATGTCAGATTTTTATTATTTTACTTATTGATAAGGAGAGGTTTATTTTTTATTGTGTTAGATCCTTATTGGGGGCTTTATCAAGGGCCCGAAACGCGCTGATAAAGAAAATTTTTTTTTTCTTTTGTCTTTATTCATATTTTTTTTACAGATATATTTTATTTATTCATACCTGAATTTTTCCACACACACAAGTCTCTTCGCTTCGGGACTTAATGGATGTAAAAAGCGTCCAAATGTTTGTCGGTTCCGAGAGTTTTCGGCTAATATTAATAAACAGGAAACATTTTGGTCAGACGGAAAAGTATTAGGAAGAGGAAAAAAGTCAAACAGTTATGTCCTGACACCAAAAAGAAGTATTGAGCAAAATTTCATGGGAAAATTAACTCAAAGGGAGGTGTTGTAATGGGATCTCCCACTCTCCCTATCGACTATTGTGGACTGACTACATTAGTAGCTACATATAGTGAGTACAGGATATACCTGGCAACTTGGTTCGGGAATTAGAGATTCGTCTCCAGCTATGCTGGTCTTACTCTCTGCCTTCAGGCAGAGAAGAATCCAGACGAGCCTATGCCGAAGGGCAGAGCGTCGTCTGTGGTGGTAGACAGCTGCCCGACCCCGTTTTTTACGGGGTTTACGGGAAATTTTTTCCCGAGCCTACGGGCTCGGATACCCCACGTTAAATTCAGCCTTGTGCCACATCTGACCGCATGGGGCGGTTGGTAGGTATCCTTGCTTCGGGAATTACTAGCCTGCTAACCGATTCCCTGTCATTCAGTAGTGTATTCTCTTTTACAATAAACCTCTCTTTCTTTCATCTACGCACGTGTTGCTGTTCCTTTCATTCGAGTACCATCTTTGTCTGTAACCTCTTTAATGATAAAGCAATTTTGTCAGTAACAAAGAAAAGAGTGTTAACCTGCTATGTAATATTAATTCTCCTATATGATAGCAAATGCTGAGAATATCTTCTTTCAAACGAAAAGGAAACTCGAGATAATGTGTTTCTACAGAAGGATGCTGAGAATACCATAAACGGACCTTTTAAGCAAACGAGGAAGTTTCAAAGAAAACAGAAACAAAAAGGACACTTGTATTTAGAATCAGAAAGAGGAAAATTAAATTTCTGGGATATATAAAAAAAAGAGGGCTTGGAGAATTCAACACTCAAAGGGCATACTGAATATATAGGGAGCATCCTAACTAACGAGTCTGTGCCAATGAATGAGTTAACAGGGACTGGGAAAGATAGTAAGACGATAAATATTACTTAGAGCTACAAAAGATCGGAAGTTGTGGAGGGCCATGATCGTTCGCGTCCTGAGGTGACAAAAAATGAAAAAAAGGTTTACTCTTGAAATTACGAGATGGAATGGTCCGGTGATGACCTTGGGAAGTCGAAGTTGGGAAAGCGCGAATTACAAATAATCTTTAGGAAAATATATAACGAAAGCCAATGATTTGAGAAAAGCTTCCCGAGGCGCCATTTTGTTCTTAGTTTAATGAAGAAACGGAAAAGCAATATTATACGCATTCCTTAATATCATGTTGCTTAATGCGGAGTGGCTGAGACACAGCGTAATTTAGTGAATTATTTTCTCATTAAATGCGATCACCCAGAACGTATATCGATAAGCAGCCACGAAAATAAATCCATGTGCATGTAATTTTAAGCGTTGTGTATAAAAACCTACCCCCGCCATTTTAGCATTGGTTCCCGCGTAAATTTCGACTGAAGGTGAGAGTAAAAATTTGAAAATCTTAGAAAACTTACAAGATTAAAAAAAATGTACTCACAAGAGAAAAACCATGCACGAAAGGTGGCTGTATCGACGGTGAAAATCTTGACTGTGAGTACTTTAACCTTTTCATTTTCTTCACAATCCGCAAGGTGTCGCCCTGTCACTCTACTAAACCCTTGCCAACCTCCACATTGCTTCCCAACCCAAACTTTGTCTTTGTTACTTCCTTATCAGTGAATTCCCCGGAGTCGAAAAGTTACACCTGTTGTAAATTACCGCCATTAAAAAACAGCACTTTTTTTTTTCTTTATTTCGCGCCAGATTTTCTTTCTTGCTTATCCGATATCTTCAATTCGGATTTTATTTATTTCATTTTTTATAAACTTCATTTCTTATTCTTGTTCATTGTATAAAGCTCAGTGGTTAGAACAAATGATTGAATTTCACGAGGCAAACAGTTCAAGTTTTATAACACTAGTGACTGAACTGTGTTGAAGGTGAATTGTATCTCAGCGAAATCGGGGCACTTCGGCGCGGTGTAATGATTAACAAGCTTGCTTCAATCGATCAATTACGACTGAATAGTTTGGTTTAGTTTGGTTTGTTTTACGGCATATCAACCTCAATGGGTCATTTAATGCCGACAACATTTTTTTTTCTTTCCGGGTAATATTTTTGCTTTGTCAAAAATCTATTTCTGTTAATATTTTTTCCTCAAAAATGTATAGCTGGTAATATTATTTTTCCAAAAATGTATAGCTGGCAACATTATTTTTTCAAAAATGTATAGCTGGTAATATTATTTTTTCAAAAACGTATAGCTGGTAATATTATTTTTTCAAAAACGTATAGCTGGTAATATTATTTTTTCAAAAACGTATAGTTGGTAATATTATTTTTTTTAAAAAACGTACAGCTGGTAACATTATTTTTTCAAAAACGTATAGCTGGTAACCTTATTTTTTCAAAATATCATTATCAAAGGCCTTGCTGTTGGACGTAGTTTATCGTCATACCCAGGACGCGGATGTAGTTTATCGTCATACCCTGAACGCGGATGTAGTATATCCTTATACCCTGGACGCGACTGAATAGTGAATTCGCTCCCCACTGGGTGCTCCACACTTTCGGCCTGGTCTGGTGCCTCAGCTGTTCATTTTGAGGTTCTCGACCAAATCCAAAAAAGGATCTGTAATATAGTCGATCATGACTTGGCATCTTGACTTCAGTCTCTTTCACACATACTTGATGTGGCTTCCCTCTGCTTTTCTACAAATATTTTCATAGCAACTGTTCTGTCCAGGTTTTTTCCCTGGTGCTCCAATTACATAAATTTAAACATGCTACTGGATTGGCATCTAGGTCCCACCCGTTTACCGTGGAAATAGTTAAATGTAAACGCCACTTCTACTTCAATAGTTTCTTTTCTCGCGCTTCCCGCCTGTCGAACTCCCTTCCGTTTACTTGCTTCCCTGATAACTACAATCTTCAAAAATTTAAATGCAACGCCAATCGCTATCTTCTGATGTCTTGAACCTCGTTCATCTTTTATCCTTTATTCATTCCCCCTATACATAGTTTTTCATTCTCCTAACTCTATGTAACCCCCTGCGAACCAGTGGCACTCACGCCTAGCTTGGGGTGAAATGCTTAAAAAAATCTAAGCTATGCTTAGAAAAATCATTTGGGTACTTCATCGTCGTGTAATGGTTAGGCAGATTGTCTCATTCAACCAGTTACGGCGGAATAGTGAATTCGCTTCTCTCTGGGTACCCCATATTTTTGGCCGTGTCACGTCTAAGCTACGTTTAGAAAATTCTCATATCTCATCTAGATTTCAGAAATTTGATGTTTTCTATTTTCGGCGTTTTTAAAGAGAGATTAAAATTTCTACCATTTTTTCTTTGTCGGAAACAAGTTCAATTCTGAATGAAGGCTCAAGAAATACGGCATTGTGACTTATTCTAATCAATACTTATTTTTCTCTGAATTTTTGAAATTATTATTGATATCCACTACTGACTGACTCGGTCAAGTATCCTCATCTTGGTTGGTATAATACCACCGTCAGAACTTTTGGAACGAGAAACTGTCATTAATATACCGAGTGTAACAGCAAAATTGTCCATTTGTTAGATTGAGCTTTGTACCGTTGTATCTTAGAAATGATTAAAAATATCTTACTGGAATTCGCCGAGGTTTTTATAACACCATTGAACTCTACTTTGAACAACAAGAATGTATAATTTACTCTACGCTTAACAGAAGAATCGTAATGAATCGATCATAAACGAAAATGACATGTTCATCATTAATTAATCATAGCTAAGGATCGGAAGCTCATGAAGGATTGAAATTAAGTTTGATATATATATATATATTAAGTTTTTATACGTATATATATATATATATATATATATATATATATATATATATATATATATATTACAGAATCATTTTCCAACTTGCTCAAGATGATCTTCGCCCTCTCTAACCTTCTAACTTTCTGTGCCTCACAAGTTTCACGTACGATTTCATTTTCAAGTCTTTTTTCACTATCCTTTGGACTGTCATAGCTGAAAATCCTCTCTTGTGTGCCAAACGTCTTATGGATTGAGTTGGATCTTTTCTAATTGATCGCTTTAGCTTTAAGTTGAAACGATGATCCCTCTTCCTGTTGTGCCCCCCCCCCGCTCAATTCAGTTTTCCTCTCTAGTGTTCCCTCTTTTTAAAACTTATTCTCCGTTCTCTTGATGGTTCTGGAATGGACTCTGAAGATGGAATCCAGAGAATGAACCTTGGTACCATTACTGAAAACTTGAATGATCTTTTTCTTCCACTATTGCTCGTTTAGGAAGACCGTGGGGCTGATACAAAATGATTTCAACCTGTTCTCTTTCTCGATGAATAACTCTTACGACAAATGATATCAAGATGGCTGCTAAACGTCTTATCTGAAAACCTGGAAAAAAGAAACTCAATTAGTTCAGTGATTTTTTTTTTTTTTTAGATATTAAACATTTTGTGGGATCAAAAATTATGCTGTTACACGATTTGGACAATTTTGCTGATACACCCGGAACACTGATTAACTCGGGCGAGTATCCTCATCTTGGTTGTTATAATACCATCATCAGAACCTTTCGAATGAGAAATTATTTTTAATATACACTGATTGACCCGGACGAGTACCCTAATTTTGATTATCTGTCTATATTTCTGAGATGAGGTATTGTAACTATTTACCCTATTTACGTTGTTCGAACTGTTGTCCTCACCCTGTTGCCATATTCACGACGTTTCGGCCGTTGTACGCTCCAGTCTACTTCAGGTGATTGGAAATTCGAACTGAACCCTTTATTTCGTCCACCGGAGTAGATTGTTCTTGTTCCACGTGCCATGACTTTTTGGGATGTTTTAGTTATCTCCCTTTAACACAACTCTCCAAGATTTTGTTCACAACTGCAGTAGCCAGGTATTGAACTCACAACACTTTGAGTCAAATCACTCGGTCCAACCAACGCTTTTATCAACTAATGGACGAAATAAAGGGTTTCAGTTCGAAATTACAATTTATAACAGGAGAAATTTCACTTGAACCCATGAAATTGGTTCCTCCTGACCGTCTGTTCTTCGTGGCCAAGCGGTAAGGCGTACCGGGGTAAACGTTGGCTTCCTCTTCCCCGAGGGACGTAAGTTCGGTTCTTGGTGAAGAGTGAAAATTTTCTTTAATAGGATTTCATGAACATTCAGGCTGGTTGGTAAAAATAGATAAATATACTGATTAATAAATAAATAAATAGAATGTCTACTCAAATACGAGTGTCCAATTAAAGGTTTTATTTATATTTAATTTTTATTTTTATATATATATATATATATATATATATATATATATATATATATATATATATATATATATATATATATAAAACTGTAGGATTAGTGTATACGGAATAAATTTCAGTAACCCAAAAAATACTATTCTTAAAAGAGTGCTAAGTACAGAGTAGACCAAATATAATTTATTCGAAAATTATAACATAAATATGTTATAAAATCACTACAAAAATAGCCATTTTGTTTCAACACTACTTGTGTCTTATCAAGTGATGCTATTTAATGTAGAATAAAGATACATCCAACACCATCACTTGATAAGACACCAGAAGTGTTGAAACAAAATGACTATTTTTGTAGTAATTTCATAACATATTTATGTTATAATTTCTGAACAAATTATATATATATATATATATATATATATATATATATGTGTGTGTGTGTGTGTGTGTGTGTGTGTGTGTGTGTGTGTAAGTATTGTTTTGGATATAAAATTTAGCTGATTTCATTTAGATTCTTTTCTTCTGTTTATGCTTCCATCTTCTTTGTTATCAAATGTCCCGCATTGTGCTAATAGATCTGCCAATAATGGTGAAACGTTACTGTGGATGATCTCGCGATTAAAAGACTTCCTGAACATTTTCGTCATAGTGAATTGTTTTCTATTTTAATTAGAGTAGGATTTTTCGGATAGATTATATACCTAAAATGTATATTAAATGTTAAAAAATAATTTTAAATTAAAATTTCCCACCGTCCCCGCTTTCGTTCGTGCGCATGTGTCGTCGCATCAACGTAAACATAAACTTGGTCTGATGAAATCCTAAAGAACGAAATACGTCAAACGAAAACGTTTTCCACTTTGTTATACTTCTTTCCCCTAAAATAGGGGTAGATTGTTACCTAGCAAATTACGTTAGATGTTCGACACTTACCATCCACTGGGCAGGGATCTGCGTTTCAACAGTTACATGGGGTATCCATACTAGGTGAATTGTTGATGTCATAAAATTTATTAAGAATAGCTTTATTATGAGACTTGATAATTTTCAACATATTATTTGTACAGGAATAACTAATGTTGATTGTTCTTCTGTTGAAGAATTTCTCTAGGGAGTGGTTATTTTTTACATGTTTATTTAATAGTTTCTCTTGACCAATGTTAATTTTGGATAACTTACAGAAGGCGGGATTGAACCATATTATATTTCTTTCCTTAATTTTGAGCTTATTATTACCCTTATCTATATTAGAGCTACTTATGGGGTTTAAGAATGAAAGTTTATT